CCCCACCCCAGCCCACACTGGGTGCTAAGGGGATTTTAGGGGCTGTGATCTGACAGTGTTCGTCCCAGTAATCCTATTACTCTGACTGCTGCACTGGACAGAGCCACACTCCATATCAACCTCTTATTGCAGGATGCTTTGTCATCCCAGTTCCTAACCTCATTCCTTAGCTTGTGAAGCTTTAGACACACTATGTGATTTCAGTTTAGATCGGCGTGTCAGACTAACTGCTGCTGAAAAGGCTTATTCATTGTAACATATGACTGAATAAATCCTGAATGATGTCCACACAGCCTCGGTTGTTGAGACAGTGAAGCACTTTCCAAATAGTATGTGACTATTTAAAAGAAGGCAGTGGTAATGTGCCAGTCATGCAGCAGCTGTGACTGTTTGTAGATTGTAGATGATGTACTGTAGGTGTAGTTCTGTTTCTCTTTCTGTTTTTCGTCCAACCTCTCCTGAAGTTACAACTTGATTCCTCCTTTAAAAGCATGTTGAAGCCCATCTGAGTTTTTTTATTTTTAAACACGGGTATGATTATATCTCAGTGTTGCATCACTTTGGATTTAGGTTTTTTTATAAGTTTTGAAATAATGTGAATAATAACCTCCCCTCTTAGTGCACGCTTCCACTTGTATGTCATTGAGAGTGGTTTGTTTTTTTGTGGGGGGGCATGCTCAGGCTGTTCCTTTGTATTTCCTGCATGTCCCATGTGACTCACCCTGAGTAGCCACCGTCAGCGCTCTGGGCCTGGCTGTCCTTTCACTGTACTTGTCAGCAAGTCACTCAGGCGTGGGTCCATTTTCACTGAAAGGGTGCAGTCACTCAAGGAGTGCCTGTCTGGACCCACATCAGAGCTTAACTGCTTCCTCTGACAAGCCTGTTTCAAGTCTAGTTGATCATTTTTCAGAGGTACAGATTGGCTCATCGTTCATCACGTCCATTGTTTTCATCCTTTTCGCCCTGACCTTGCACTTTCATTTGACATGAAATGGTCATGGTAATAGCTGCTGTAATGTCTGCCCAGAGTTCAGGTGCTTTCTTTCCCTGCTTCTGTGCAGACGTATTAACATGGGCAACGATCAAATGGTTCTGTCTGTCAGCCACTATAAATACAAATACAGTGTAAGTAATGAAAGCCATTTATCTGGAAAAGTGACAGCTGTAGCTTCCAGATGGAGCTGGTGCAGTGTTAGCTGTAGCTGCTTTTTTGTCTTCCAGAATTTTATTGCTAAAATCAATAATTAAGATGCTGGGAAAGAAGAAATTACAGTGAAAGCATTACAGAATCGAAACTGCTCCAAACTCTACTTTTCCTTATAAACGTCCCAGTAATTCTGTGCAATTAAATTCCAGTCTTGCATTTAACCCTGTTGTCATTAAGAAGCCCCTATAAAGCAGCTCTTTAAGTGGGCTGTTTCCTGTTAACACCCTCTGCCAAAGGACCCGACTGTTGCTCACTGGAGGCTGCAACAGATTGGATCCCAGCAGTCCAATCCATAATGTCTGCACTCGGATGGAAGACGTTCACACAGGCAGGCACTAGCAAGTGTCTGAGTACATGCGCACAGTTTAATTTTATTTGCCTATCTAGCTCTTGTATCTTATTTTGTGTTTTTCACACAGTCACACTGCCAACGTGCACAAACACACATTCCCCACAGTTTTTGATCTAGGCCAAGGTCATAGTTCGTCATGACTCTACAGTCCAGAGGTTTGGGCGCCACACTCCGTCTTCAGTGTCTGACTGCAAGGCTGAGTGGCCTGTCTGAAAACACCACTCACAGGGAGAGACTAGTTGAGCAGCAGTGATTAAAGCTCCATGTCTCTTTAAAACTAATGGGGCATTGTAAGAAGCTGCCTGATTGCCAAAGCATGTGACTGTGACTGCTTGAAAAAGATTAGCACATGCAGTTGGAGTTTAACAAATAAAAAGAAATAATTTACTAACTGATTTAATCTTTTTTTGTTTTGTTTTGTTTCCAGGAAGCTTTTTTTTATTTCACGTTAAATTCCAGGCTGTTGTGTTTTTCAGCTCAGTTCTGCTTTCAACAGTCACCTCTTTGTACCAAACTGGGAAAAGGGCAATGAAATTCCTTGGAACTCCCCAAATCCTGGGAATTGTAATGAAGGGGTTGCTAGGTTGCAATCTATAGAGCCTATTGTGGACTCTTATATGGATTCAGTGGTACTACAGGGAGCACCAGTGACCCACAATGCACCCGCATTCCACAGCTTTTCAGGATTGTTGAAGTGGAGTGGGGGTGGCCCATAAGTTCTTATTTCATGTGTTGGTTTGCAAAACCTGAATTCTGATCATTTTTTTTCTCAATAATATACATGAACAGCAAAGGGAAATCATATTTGTCCTTTTCTAACTTTTCCATAAAATTTTAAGGTCAAACCAAACAAGACTTGGTGGTCTTTGCTCTGAGACTCCAGCCTCTTTATCCCTCATGGTCTGTGGACAGATTTAGATCTTGATCATTTGTCAAGAGAGATTACCAATCACTGCTCAATCGTTAATCATAACAATATTTGTTGATTACACTGAAAGTGGGAAATAATAGTTTCTAAATTCAGTAAATCGTTCGTCTGATTTGAATCCATGAAGTCTGCCTTTCAATGCAAACTGTAAACCTTTTAACAATATATGCTATTTTTCAGCTAAAAATAAAGAAATTTAAAGAAGAGATTAAGTAAACAAGTTACTTGAAAATTAAGCAGTACAAAATAATGACTTCATTTAAGTTTATAGTGCTTCCGCTCTTCTCTGTTTGTTCAACAAATGGCCTGACAAAATTCAAATGACTGATTTTACCTTATCTACCTGATGGCAGTGACTTGCATTCTTTTCACTGTAGCCGGTGTTTGTACAGCAGCTGGAAACACCTGGTCAGCTCACCTGCCCAGCAATGCACAAATACTGTAGGCCCAGCCTTCTCAGTCCAGGAAAACCTTCTGTTTCTTTGCATCAGTTATTTTTGCAGATTTCACAGCATCAGCCAGCAAAGCCTGCTGTTCCTTTTCTGCACTGCCGGCCCTAAGTTTCCTCTTTCTCCCCATGTTTCATTCAGTAGCACATGGAACTGCCTGGGTGCTGGACATTTTGCAGCTATGATGACGAAACTAATTAAATATCTGTAGAGGCTAATAATATGTAATGGGTTTTAGGGAAAAAAAACAAACCAGCCAAGTAGAAGCTTTCTCTTCCTTAGTTTGTGTACATAGCAACATGTGCTGACTGTCTGGGAAGACTGATGAGTCTGAGGCTTCGGTGCACACATTTGAAATAACTTGAACATTGCTGTAGCACTACAACACTCTTTGGAGAGAGAGTTTTAAGGTTTTAAGACTCATGTTTGAAGTGAACATCCTAGAACTTAAAGCCCATGTCTTTTGCTTAACTGTTCAAGTCACAGATTAGTCATACGCGTTTCATTTTATTGTATACTGTATATTTTTATGCTCTGGGTTTCCTAACATGCAGCTTAGGGGAACTTGTGTCATGAGTTTTTAATTGTTTGTTTCTGAAAACCCATAACAATGCAAGTGCATTGAAAGCCTGCATAATTCAAGACACTTTTCCTTTAGGCAGAGAAAATATAAAAAATTCATTCTTTAGATAAAGTTGCAAAATCCTACTTTGCTTCACCAGAATGCTGACATGACCTGTGAATTATGAAAGAACTGTGTGCGAGTGACACCGATGTGTTAGTAGTCGCCTGACTTTGCAGGTGTGTAGACTTTGTGGGGAATAGATCATCTACACTATGTATGGAACTTTGTTTCACTTTATTTTAACTGTTTAATTGCTATATTTTTCTGAGAAAAGTTTATTTCCTTTTGTCAATTTCAGGGTGTTAAGTGTGACAGGCAGATGCCTGAAAATCACTTTTGCTCAGTCACCTCATCTTATTGTTTGCACCAGAGCTAATACTGTAGTCGCCGTGTCAGTGGAGCCAGAATTTCCCTTTGGGGATTAATAACTGTCTGTCTGTCACACAGGGTTCATAGTGCAACAGAAATAAATAAAGCTCAGCACCTGGTTTTTGGAGTTTACGCAGCATTTGCAGTATGAATATTTAGCAATTCCTCCTCTTTAAACCCTTCCTAGTGTCTCTCTCTGTCTCTGTGCTGTGTTCTCTCTTTAAACATACTCTCTACTTAATCTGCTCTCTCAGGACTCGGTTCTGTATAATTAGAGACTGAAACTTTAATCACCATGGATCCAGGGCAGGGAGCGCAGGCCATTTCAAACACAAGACGTAAGCATAAAATTAGCATGAAAGAAAATATGTAAAGATAGAAACAAATGTGGCTTCATTTAAGGTATGACATTTATATACTGCCAGTTTGTACAGCTCTTTACAAACTGTGTTCAAGGTTCACACAAGACAAATATGTCTGATCCAGACGTCATTAAGATCTGAGAATGTCTTGACTTGTTTGTAATGCTCAGCTAATGATGGCAGCTTTGTGTAGCTGGATTACAACAAGGTCAAAGTTTGCAGGAGGTCCTTACATAACTACCGCTTTCTCCTCACCCCCTCTCTGTGTGTCTCCTTGTATAATCTCAACCCTACTCTCATATTCTCTCCTCTGTTTTGTCTTCTCACTCTTGTCTTCTCTCACTCCACACACTGACATTCATTTAGCCTTTAAAATCTCATTGTCTTTCTGTCTCCCTTTATTTTTTCATCTGCATGAAAACCATTCGCTTTTGCTGCATGTATATTAACATTTAGCAGAGCTTTAGTATTTGCATCAATAGTGAACACAAGATATGATTAAAAACAAGTGAAGCTCCAGATCTTTGACTATTTAACTTGCATTTGAGAGGAAAAAATGGAAAGAGTTCATTTGAAAGGAAATAAAATAATAAAGCTGCCCAAACCAATATGCAGTGAAATCATTATCTTATTTCATTATGACAAGATAAAATTGTATTAATGTACTGCTAATCTTCTGATGTACTTCCTTTCATCTGCTTTCACTAGTATGAATTCAAGGCTAAGAATATCAAGAAGAAGAAGGTCAGCATTGTTGTGTCTGTGGACGGAGTAAAGGTGATGCTGAGGAAGAAACAGAAGGTACGTTGCTAATGAGAAACTCTAAAAGAAAATAACTGAGAAGTTGCTGTGCCGCTCTCCACCAGGTTCAGTGTGTAAACACCAGAAAAACAATGTACTGCAGCTTTCTATTAGATTGAAAAGTGGCTGGTTTGGTATGTTGATAACATACAGTATGTAGAACTTCTTTGATACAAGATGCTTTTTCACTGCTTAATCATGATCATCTGTTTCACACCCAGAGGAAAGAATGGACATGGGATGAGAGCAAGATGCTAATCATGCATGATCCCATATACAGGTTAGTGAGAAATGAATCTGTTCAAAGCAAATATGAAATCGAACTGTCTCTGTTTTTGCTTTGTATTCAGGGATTAAACTGTCTGATATTCCTGCCAGTTTGTTCTTTCTTGTACAGTATGTACTTGTTATCTCTTTCTTATCTAATTACTGGGAGAATAAATATTTAATAATATTATATCATCCAACTCATCCTCTGTGGATGAAGCTTAGGTTAGCTTTATAGGCCCTGCTATAGTCTTCAACCGGGTAAGGTGCATGTAAGAATTAAGTGTAAATGCTAAAAAAAAAAAGTATTAATTCATAGGTGAAAGTGAATTACATTCAAGTGGGCAGTGGATGAAATAAACACGAGAAAGAAAGCAAATGAAGATAAAATGTTTTTTTTTTTTTAAAAACATCTAAATTAGCATAATTTTTTCAAGCATAATTAGCCGTCATCTTGCACCCCTGATTTTATCATCAATCCAGAACTGAGAATGCAGCTGAGTGATAGCAGTGGGCAGTCATTTTGGATATGTGGACAGATGAGTACCACAAAATCAGTTATCTTTGTGTCACTTTGCATAACATCAAGTGGGAGCCAAGCGAGTGCGTGATCTACACATCTGAATCGCACCGTTCGTTACAAAGAAGGGCCAAAGATTTAGCATAATGTTGCACAAGGTTTAACAAAATTGGAGCCATACAGGACTGTGAGGCTCGGTGTACTGTATATGCTAAATGCACATACATAAGACATCATGATGACCAGTTCATTGCTTGTGCATATGCTGTAGAGCATGTGTTCATATACTTTGAGAAAATGTCTCAGTATGTGTGCCCAAAGAAACTGCATTCACATGGGCCTCAAAGTGTCAAAATAACATCTGTCAGCTGTTAAAAAGTAAAGGGAAAAATCAAGTGTGAGCAGATATTGGAAGTTTTGTCATTTTTTTGGCTTTTTTTAAACAAGTAATTAAGGCATTGTCATCATGGAAATGTAGGCACCCACTGAGAAGTGTCTTAACAATAAACATCTACTGCAGCCATCTTGTGTGACTCCATGCAGAAATTTGTGTACATGTGTTTGTAGGTCATTTTATCTCACACTTCAACAAGGAACCATATATGTTTACTATAATTATACTTTAGAACTGTGTGCATGTGTGAGGGTGTGTTTGTGCAGTGTTGATGAATAGTACCCTCTCTACCATGAGACTTTCAGTCATAGATGGTCATAATTTCTTTGCCTGGTTCCCAGTAGAGACATTTTATGGCAAATGGAGATGCAGGTCTGGCCCTCAGCTCTGCCGCCTGTACTGCAGAGCATGTTGGTGTGATGTTGCTGGCAAGGGACTAGACAAGACAGCACATTAGTACTGTGTAAGACGTGGCGTCTACTGAACTGTAGTGGTGTGTATTTGTAGAAGGTATTATACTGTAAAAGGTTTACTTCCATTTAATTTATGTTTGCATGTTCTCAGTCCTTTGTCCCTGATATTGTATTTTTAATGTAATTCGTCATTATTATGGCATTATTGGTGAAGGATGTGGCAGCTCATGTCAGAAATATCTTTTAAGACTTTTAGGCTTGTACACTTGTGCTTTGCTGAGTATCTAAATCTGCTTTCCAGGATTTTCTACGTATCTCATGACTCCCAGGACTTGAAGATCTTCAGCTACATTGCCAGAGATGGCTCCAGTAACTCCTTCAGATGTAATGTCTTCAAATCAAAGAAGAAGGTACTGAAAAAGTTTGTGTTAAATCCATACAAAACTGAGGTATGAAAGTTCTGGTTTTCTGGAGGGTAATGTGCTATTCCTGTTTCTTGGCTGGGAGCGACTGCATACAAAGTTAGTGGAAAGGCACAGTCACATTGGTGCAATTTGATGCAGACACACAGTCCACACAGTCAGTTTATCTGTTGATTGCCAGTGTACAGCTGATATCTGTACAGTTAATACACTGGTTATTTGGAATAAACACAAATGGTCAAATTCACGTGAATGACACAGGGTAGATGTTTGTTTTCTGTATGAAACCAGGCTTATCGCTTCCACCTTTTCAATCTATTGCTAAGCTAAGCTAACCATTTGGGGGGGGGGAACCTGTCTTTCACCACCTCTGAGAATTCCACTTTACATCTGAAAATGAACCAATGTCTGGCATTCATGCAGGGGAGAAACCCATCACAGAAGAAGATAAGACCATGAAGTATGTTACATTCTGAGGAAGGATCATGCCTTTTCCTATCTGAAAAATCCATGCAGCCTTTCCTCTTGTCACCGAATTTGCTGCTGTCATCGCTCCTTGATGTAAATCCACATCCCCCGACTGAAACAGCCACTGTTACTGCAGGACAGTTTTCTGTGTCCAGCTACCCGTGACTGAGGGTTGTGTGTATTCTGTGCTCTCCACTTTTACCTTTTATTCCACAACTAATTTAGTTAATCGATTTTGGATTTAAATTTAATCTCAAATTCAATTTCCAGCGGCTTGGTTAATATCCACTGGTTTAGCGCTGCGCATCCGCAGCCTGCGGTGAATACAGAATAGATGCACTTGAGGACAAGGATTACAACTACATATTTCAGACAAGCATCACTTTATACCATTCCTCAGTCTAAGCAGTTTTTGTGTGTTGCTGCAGTTGTTACAGGTTATTGGTGTCTTGGCTCAGACGTGTGGTATTATCACTTAGCTGTAATGAGAATTGTCCTACAGAAGGAAATTATTAGTCTCTGAACTGGGACTATCCAACCTTGTGCCAAGAATGAGTGTGAGTATGCCTGTTTTCAGTCAAACCAGGTGAGCTCATTGATAAACTCCTATTAAAGTAGACATTAGGAGCTGATCAGTGAAATTGCCAACTGTGCTGTTTAGTGGAGTGAAATGATGCATATGTTTAGCTTACTATTGAATGCGTCTGCTGTAAACATTGACCTCAGTCTCTGTCTCCCTGCCTTCTTTTTCTGTCAGACGCAGGCCATGCGTATCGTGCGGACAGTCGGTCAGGCATTTGAGGTGTGCCATAAGCTCAGTTTGCAGCATGCTGAGCAGGATGCGGATGGACAGATGGATGGGGAGAGCGACAAAGCCACAGAGGAGCCCAACAGTAATGGTGAGGACGACCTCACAGGGTTTAACTGTAACTGTTATACACACCTTTGGCTTTGATTGCAGACAGCTTTGTGAGCCAGAGTCTATTTGTACAGTTTAGTTTCTGTTTGGTCATGTGCAAACAACTGCTGCTAATCTGAGCTTTCTAACTGTGAGGTAATAAACTTCAGCCAGCAACTGTTACTGTGCCAGACAGAAGCAATACAGCACAGAGCTATGATTACACGGCTCTTCTAACTCCTTCTTTTTATTTTTGCCAACTTTTATACCATGTAAAGCTTTTTGGCATTTGACTAAAATATTTACAGACATGTTAGCAGCTCTGTGAGGCTCTTTGGGCACAGCAGTGCTTTGACCTAAATACTAACATCAGTATGGCAACATACTCACAATGACAGTGTCAACATCCTAATTTTAAAATTAGCAGGAAAGGTTTACTATGTTTGACACTGTAGTTCAGTGTGCATGCTAACATTTGTCAATTACTGTAGCCCTTTAACGCCAACACTTGTGTGAATATTTGGTCATGTGTTTATGAGCCTTTATTGGTCACTTTGGTTACATGGTGACCATGTTATGTTCCTCCTGGCTGAAGCTTGACCTTTCCCTTGTTTAGTTTGATTACATGCATCTTAAGGGCCTAAAATGTACTGTCAGACCTCACTTACTTCTTAATGTAACACAGCAATCAAACAACACAGATGTCCATTTACATAGATTTAAGGGGGAACATCAGCAATAGGGAAGATAACCATGATTAAAACTTGCATGTCACTACATTTACTGTATAAACTGTAATGCATTGATATATCATGAATGTGGCATTAGTATAATAAAGAGTTGATGTGCAAAGCCACTGGCTCTGGCATTATTTCAAGAGTGAATGAAAGCAAATGCCTTTTGTTTATTCCTCTATAGGTCGTAAACTGACAGGGGCGGTGCGAAGGGAGGAAGAGGAGGGCAGCAAACATGAAGGAAGACGAGGAGAAGATCCTTCAACTGGTGCTTCACTGTGTGAAAAAGCAGTCAGCGAAATTCTGCAGAGTCTGGCTGAACTCAACATGGTCAAACCTGGACAGGCCATCACAGTAAGATACTGGAGGACACACATTGAAAAGCTGTGTGCAGAATGATTCATAAGACCCAGAGTCCTGTGCTAGACATATTAGTCCTGTCCTAACAGGGCGAACGGCCATACTGTACTTTTTAAAGTTTGGTCATGCTTGGATTTGGGGATGTTCCAAAAGGGGCCGTGCCAGCTGCATCCACATTTTTATGATTGCCGGTTGTTTTTGCTGCAAACCTTTTTCAGTTCTTATAGCTCTCCTGATTTATTACTTTGGCTTTAATGGTGGTTTGATGCTATTATCTGGGCATAGTGCTGCCAAATGGATCATTGAACTAAGGAAGTAGAGAATAGTGCTCTGTCATCTACCGCAGTACCTGACTGCAGCTCTCCATGACTAATCACAGCACTCTACCTTGGCATTAGATAATTTAGGTATGAAATGACTTTGTCGCTCTTACATGATGTAAAATTTTTGTTTCACTTAGTTCTACATTTGACAGGCTTTGTATCCCTATGAAGTTAGGAAGTGACAGTAATCTTGTGCTAATATTTTCACAGTGAGAGGAAGAAATAAATGTGCAGACTTTAGACTGGCTTGATGTGCTCATTTGGATTTGTCACATGAGCAAATGTGTTAGACAC